TTTAGCCCCTGGAATGCGAATTTTACCAGGGGAACCCTGCCAAAAAACGTGTATTTTACTTCTGGAATGCAATTTTTAACGGGGGACCCCCTCGAAATGCGATTGGGCTAGTTTTGAGTAGCGATTGGGTGGGTTTTGTTGAGAAAACCTGGCAACCCTGTTTACCATAGCCGCCTGCGAGCTTCAGTGTAAATATTGCGTCAAAATCAAATCTTACAGTGCATTCAGGTTATACATTTTTTACCAGTATGTGTGTTCCTTGGGAATCGAACCCACGACCTTTTGCGAAGGCTCGTCAGTAGATCACGCGTGTGCTGATAGCGATGAAGTGAACTAACCCTGAAACATAACCTGCTCCGGAGCAGGACCAACCAACATAAGTCAAAAGCAATTTGATAAATGTTGCAAGGGAGTCTCTGACTCTGTCTGTCTCTCTTTTTTGTTCTCTTTACCTTTGCTCCACTGTCAGATGTGTTGTATATTATTGCAAGACTTTTGGGAGATTTTCTCCTTTTGTAAGATAGATTGCTGAGTTCCAGCACATCTGCTACCTAAAAAGAGCTTCATTACCATTTATCATCCATTAACAAAAGTAAAAACAAAGCAAAAAAAACATTAGCATGAATATTACTGGGATATTGGCTGTTTATTATTACTTAAAAAGCACATATTAATGTCTTATTCTGCAAGACCTTATTCTAAATCCTTAATCCTACCCAATACTTAAACTTAACAACTATTTTACTGAGTATTAATAAGCAGTAAATAGGAGAATTTTGAGGCAAAAGTCATAGTTAATAATTAGTTAATAGTGAGAATTGGACCATAATCTAAATATATGTATTTACTTGAGAGAATTAAATTAACCATTTCATGTCTATCCCTGTATCATTAACTTGTCAAGGTTGATATAGGATTTAGAAAAAGTAATTAGTAATAAAAAAAATTTGGGGGAGAGTAATTTGTACAGTAATCTAATTACACTGTTGAAGATGGAATTAGTAACTAGTAATTGATTACTTTTTTTGAGTAACTTACCCAACACTGGGGGAAACACATATGGGGCCTGCTTGGCCAACCGATATGGGTCAGACAAGGGCTAACACAATCAGTCCCATATAGGCTGCCTGCATGGGTCCAAGTTAGAACCCACATGGGTCTGTGCGAAGTTGATGTGTGAGGCCCTCAGCAATTGTGTGTGTGTGTGTGTGTGGGGGGTGGGGCGGGGGGGGGCTTGCTATAGGAACGAACGCAACTTTAACACGCATCTGATCGATTGTGATGCCGTGCTCACTGACATGCTTGTGCACGAATCACGGTCACGCACATGCTCATAAGAATTGTAAGATCTACTGTAAGATCTACATAATAATAATAATAATAAAGCAATTAAATAAGTAAATAAGAATGCTAAAATAAGTTCTAGGTTTGTAGTTATATATGAAGAGTTCAGATGCAAAAGCCTCTAAGTGCCATTTAAAATTTTCTTCTAAAATGGTTAGGCTTACTTTAATGGGAAAGAAAGGAAACTATTCATTGCCATTAAAATGTGCACATTCACTCTTATTCGTAGTTGAAAACGCAAACGTCTCTTGTCACGTTCATTTATGATTTACATGAATCATGATCGCATATTTTAAATTAAAGACGGTGAAATTTAATAAAAAGTTGAGTAGTTTGCATCACTAGATAGTCTATTACTGTCGGCCGCTGAACATTTCTATCTTAAAACATTTTTTCTAATACAGTACTACTTACATCTTTCCACGAACTCTCGTTGCATTGTGACAGTGACAGTAAGACCCACCTTCTTGATTGGCCATCTCGATCATTTTGACAGTGACGAGCGCTGTTGGACCACTGAGGCAGACCAGCCTAAAAGTTAAACTTTTAAAACTTTTTGTCATCCTAACAACAAACAGCTTTACTCATTCTTATACACAGAGTCTTATACTGTCTATCAGCTATGACTATTTTAGTCTTTCAAAGACAAAATGGGTGGAAAAACAGTAATAAAAATTAGACACAAACGACATAAAATGCAAGCCAGGAGCGAGGCCCTCCAGAGGCGCGAGGCCCTGTGCGGTCGTGCACTTGCAGGGCTGTACGTTAACTTTTTTATCACATAGCACTGGTGCTACAGAGGTTGAAAGTTTTGTAGCACAGGCCAAAAAGTTGTAGCACAAGTATAAAACGTCTGTTATCATGTCTGAAAACAAACACAAGTAATGGAGTTCATCACTTAAACAGGCACTGATGTTCCATACAGAGCACAAAAAATACAAACCATCACAAAAATTGTTTTAGACAAAGTTTTCTTAATTTGCTAAAAATGAAAGACTGCAGAAACATAACACCTCTTACACCTTAACAAAATATAAAATAAAAAACAATGGCAGACGTTTAGGCAAAGTTAGCAAAGATAAAAATCTTTGTCATTATTTTATCTTTGTTATTAGAAATTTTTCAGGTACAGTATTTAGCAGTATTTACAAAGAAATTGAATGTACAAATATTAAAATAAAACACTATATACACTA